CTCCGGAGGAGAAAGAAGAGTGACTTTAATTTGCTGGACAGTTAGTCTTTGTTTTTTGTTTGTTCATTCTTTGACTCCTCCTGCACATTTAAATAAAGTCTTGGCTGGAGTAAACCTGCTGTGCGTGTGTTTGGGTCTACCAACTACACTACCCCATAACACTATTTGACTACTTGAAACTAGAATCATGTTTAAAATGTTTACTGAGGGAATACATTTGTATGATAGAAGTACGGTCAGACCTTTTTTTTGCAACCAGAGTCGCCCCCTGATGGCCATTTGATAGAAGTCAAGCAACAATGCTGCATGACAACAGCCTAAAATGTAAAATTGTTGTACATTACTTTTGAACAGCAATCATTTTTTGGCCAGCTTCAGGAATGTTTTTTGTGGACTGTGTAACTTGCTCTGTGGTAAGCTTGTCAGGAAATATGTTCATTACAAACAAATGTTGACCTTTCCCTCAGCCCCAACAGGCTCTCTGTAGTAATGACATGATGTTACGCAATGAACTTTGACCTTTTTATGGAGTCACCCTCCACATAGGCCTTTCCACTACAGGAGACTTCCATTTTCTGCTCGAGTTGCTGTACTTATTAATAGCAGTAGGGGACAAAAGTGCTATATCACCATCTATTAAAACTCTCTTTAATATAACCTAATTGAGTCTTAAATTGCTCCCCTTGTTTTGCAATCATAGCCTGCTTTCATGCCATTTACTGTTTTGCTGCTGGCTCTTAGTGCTTCATTTCTCCTCTCTTCTTGTAGATCAATACAGTTTCAACTTATCTCACCTTATATCCCACTGAGGATATGTAGAGTAGCTGTTTTGTATTTGAAAACAGGCTTCAGATGTCAAACGGCTACATTCCTTGAACACTTGTCTAGGACACCTACCACAGACCTCACACAGCAAGCACCTTGAACAGAGGAGCACCTTATAATCAGCCTCTGCTTTAGGGAACATGTTATAGCTTGTCCCCATGAACAATGCTTGTTTGGAGAGCTGGTAAGATCATGTTCAAGGAGCTGAGTGCAAAAGCACGATATCAAATGGTCACAACCCCTTTTCACATGGTAGCAAAGAGTTGTCTCTGTCTCCACCAGGGATGGGGACTTGGACATGGACTCAAGTCCAATTTACGTCACACACACAGTGACTTTAGACTTTCCTTGGACTATAGCAAAAAAAGATTTGTGAGCATCCCCGGGTTTGAGAGACTAAAGGTATGTGTACAGTAGAACATAGGCTGTCATTAGTTGGAGACGAAGTGTAACTAAACAATACAGATCTACTGTAACTGTTAAAGAAAATGTTAGTTATTATTGCATGCCAAATATTTAACGTTAGTCTATATCCATACAGTTATTGTTTTACATTGTGTTTTTGTATTACATTGTAACATGTTAAAATAGATAATTTACCAACAACAAATAAATGCTGATACTGTATGCTAATAAAAAAATAAAAAAGTGGTGATACAGCACAGGCTTTGATTTCCTCAGATATAGCCATGCAGTGTTCTAAGCAGCCCTGATGACATTCAGCAGATAATAGAACGTTTATTACAACCAGCAGAGATTTGAGACTTGTGACCAAAGATTCAATACCTAACTTGGTCTCTAGATCAAAGACTTGAGACCTGACATAGACTTTCATAAAAGAACTTGTCAGCATCTCTGGTGTCCACCTGATGAATATAAGTCCAACTGTTCTCCACCAACTCCTGAAAAACATATGTCTCTTAAGCTGCTCCACTTTGTTCACCAGGTAGAGTCCAGAGGATTCATCAGGGTTTTATACCTGAACACAGCTGCCTGCTGCTGCTGGAAACCAGGTTGATGAGAGTGGTAAACCAAAAGAGTCCAGTCGTAAAACAATGGGCTAAAAGAGGCTAAAATGCTCCATAGAAGTGAGGGGAACTGCAGAGTTTGGTGATAATTCTTCACATTACACATGATTATTGTACATAGTTATATTGTATATTGTATGCATCGTTAAAATAAAGATACTGATTAGTGCAACAATTCTTGTCTGCACTTTGACCTTGTGATCAGAATTAGTACCACAGTTAATAAACTGGTTGAAAGTATAGTCAAGATTACAAGCATTTAGGTTTAGCTACTGTTGTCAGTGTATTTATTTTCAGATACTAACAGCAGTCATTCACTATATTGCCAGAAGTATATGGACAGTGGTCTGTGGGTCTGTTTTTCACAGTTTGGTCTCATAGTGCAATAGAGAGACATCTTGTATACAGTTATATTATCCAACTTTGTGTCAGTGGTTTTGCTTTGGTCCTGTCCTGTTTCAACATGACCATGCCCCCGTGCACAAAACCGGTTCCTTGAAGAAAGGATTTTCCCAGTTTTGTGTGGCAGAACTTGTCTGATTTGCACAGAGTCCTGGCCTTCGCCCACAATTTTTGGGATGAGCTGGAATACCAGCTGAGAGCCAGGCCTTATAACTCAATATCAGTGTTGGACCTCACTTTTCATATCTTTTCTTGTCACAATGAAATCAAATTTTAAACAGCCAGTCAGATGAAGGAAAAAATGATGAGCCGTTTCTCCATACTATTCTACACCAGCCACATGCAGCTTTGTGAGTACTGCGATGTAGAGCAAACCAAGGTCCAACTGCATGCCAGAGCTGAGTGTGGATCACATTTTAGCAGATAACACCCTGTCCAGCATTGTGTCACAGTAAATGAGTGCATGTCACTGATATGAGTGTAACGGCACAAAGACCTCACTAATCTGTCCTGTTAAAGATTTGAACAACCCACTGACTGATGTGAGCCCCAGTGGTGAGGCTGCAGACGGGAGGTGGGAGTGCTGGGAAAGGTCCTAATGTTAAGCTGCCTGGAGCACTCTGTGGGTCCTGTCCCTGTTTGCAGTTGATCCTTTTCCTGTTTTGGCAGAGCTTCACGTTACAGTTGCTATAGAATATAATGTCAACAAGATGCATCCAGGGAAGCCGTCCCATTTCCTGAGGTGTTGTGGATTTAGGTCCAAGATAGACGGGCAAAGACCACCAAATTCCCCCCACATGTCAGGAGTGAACTGTTTTCTTTACTGACATGTCATTCAGGGTGGGCTCAGCATCTGCTGAGTGTCAGAGCCAGCAGGTCTAATGACAGGCTGGATTTACATTGCTATAAGCTTGTGGTGCGTAGTACAACATGCACTCCCTAATCCAGAGACTAAAACAAACATCAGTGTTGTGGCACCACTCTCTCCAGCTCATTCACTCTTAAAGGGGAACTCCACAGATTTAACACGGAAAGGTCAGTTTACACATCATGAGGAGTTCTACTCATCCTGTGAAAACAGTTGCATAATGTCTTCTGTGGAGAATTCATTTGGTTATAGAGTAACCAATGACACTCTTTTGTGTCAAGTTTGTACTGTTGACCAAAAATACCTTAGTGGGAGCGTAGAACCAAGAGGTTAGAAAGAGTTGACGAAGAGTTCAAAATGATTTTTACAAATGTACATAATCTGGCTTCAATTCCAGATGATGGCTGGTTTATCTCCAGGCGGCTAAAGAAATATAGCCAATGTGAAGGTGCCTTCAACCTGCATCACTTCTATAAAGTAGGGTATGCTTTAGGGCGGGGCTTACTGTGATTGACAGGCTGCTACCAGAGCCGTATACGGTGTCCCTACATCACTCCTCCGCATCCAAATATGGTCACTTCCACTCACTGGTTGCAAAAACCAAGATGACGCAACCAAAATGCCAAACTTGCGGCTTCAAGACCGCTGTCCACAAACCAATGGGTGACATCAAGATGACTACATCCACTTCTTATAAACACATTCTGCATGGTAGCCCCTGCCATCAGTCAGCCACTTACTAAAGGCTGTGCCATCAGTAAATGGGAGCAATTTTGGGTTAAATCTCTTGCTCAAGGACACATTGGCATGGACTGGGGGAGCCAAAGATTGTACCACCGATCTTTCTATTGCCTCAAATCTGAACCACAGCCGCCCAACATGCTGCCCAGGCATGAAGGGTCTATCCAATAAGTTCCATTATGTAGCATACAGCTATACAGTATATTAGGGATTGAAAGTTTGGATACCTCAGCATCTGCTGCTAAAAATGTTGGCCATTCTCTATAAAAATCTAGGGGGGGGGGGGGGCGACACATAACAGCTGGGAAAATCAGAACATGTGCTTTCTGTTTGTTTTCACAAAAGCCAAGCTAAGGATAATAATCAACAGTCATGAAGGTCAAATAACATCTTATAATTCCATCCTCATGATCAGTCACCCTTTCCTTTCCCAAAGCACAAACCAGTGATGAACACAAAGCACACAGCTACGAGGGAATGTGATTCGTCATGTAACAAGTGGCTTCGCTCCACAGCTGGGAATGTCTACTACATCCATTCACAGCTTCTTCTTCTAATCTTAATAATGACAGGGTCCTTAGCAGCCAGCAATTTTCAAAGAAAGACGAGCCATCGGGGAAGAGGAAGGCATTATGCTGAAAACATGAAGGAATAACATTTGGCTCCCGTCCAGCAGCAAAGTCCTGGGTGTGCAACAGAAAGCCATAAAAAAGCCTCCAAATACTCCCTAAATGCCTGAAACAATAGCTGTGTATCTGATGAATGGGTGAAAGTGCAGTTTTGAGCACTGGTGCATGTTACAAAGAGTAAGTATGTGCAGTTTAAAAATGTATTTCCTTTTAAATACGCCATCTCTGAAAACCAGATTGCTTACATGTATATCTGGCTGTGATCATTAAATAGCATGTACTGACATTTTGACTGTAAGAGACAGATTTATCAGCAAAATGATACTTTGTGAGGAGACAGGTGAGAGAAACACAAACAAACATTGCAAATCAAAGTCATCAGGAAGAAAATGACCTAAAAAAAGGAGGATGAAGAAGAAAATGACATCCAAGCAAACTTCTTATTATGTTGCTGAAGAGGAAAAGTCCCCAGCAGAGATCTCCACATACATTAAGACATGTCCTTACCTGATCTGCAAACATCTGGCGCTTCTTCTTCTTCCCTACCTGTCTGCTCTCCTCTGCTTTCAACTGCAACTCCCTCATTGACAGAATGCTGCTTGCTCCTCAGCGACAAACTCCACCCACAAGAGAGTGAGATGAGTAGGGGGGGACGGAGGGAGGGACAGAGACCGAGGACGCCTTCCTCCTCTTGTTGCTGCTGCTGTGGGATCAGCAATTGGAGCGGAAAAACCAAAAGACAAACACTCTGAGCTCTGAGATCAAAGTCTTGTCCAAAGTGCCCGGTGGTTTAAGGAGCAGCTTTGTCATTAGTGAACAGAAAGGGGCAAAGATAAAAGGCTGAACAGCGCACTAATGTGAGGAAAACAGCAAGGGAGAGAAAATGGACCTCATGTTGGCCTACTACTCTATTAAAGGATACACATCCTGTAAAGCCGGAGACAGTTGTTGGACCAAGACATGTAAAAACACAATGATTGTGTGAAATCAAATTAAAATCTTCAGTTATATTATATATTTGGTCTTCTTATTAAGCCAGCGCAAACCCAGCATTGGGGGTCTGATCCAGTTGGCTTTATGTCAGGGGACTGATGTCAAGGGTCTGGGGGGGAATGCCCCGACTCTCTGCAGAATCAGCAAACTTTCAGTTGATGCCATTACACAAGTTAGAGCTAGCTGCTGTCCATAGACTGTTGGGGCCCCCGTGCTGGAGTATGCGGCAGCTGAATGCTAGTAGCTACAGCTAACTGAAGGTCTGTCTGCCACTTTGAATTTAGTCCAATAAAGAAACTATGAAAACTTACACTGACCGTGCAGATGGCTGGCATATACATAAACTATAGGTGAAGGCCACACATTAAGATTATAAAATAGCATATTGTATATTCTTGCCCTGCTATAAGTTAGTTGTTGGCTTTTTGTTTTTTTATAACTGATGACTGTAAATGTAGATTGTATGGATCCAGTACTAGAGGTGAAATGCTGCCCCCTATTTGTTTGGAGCTTGTGGCCAGATATTACACATTACACCTGAAGAACAGACTTCATGCAGCAAAGGACTGCAGGTTGGATTTGAACATGTGCTGCCGCAGTAAGGACTCGTCATCTTGTTGTTTGGCAACCAGTGAACGGAAGTGACCATAATTGGACTGTGGAGAAGTGATGCCGTGGTCAAGGCGCCGTATACGGCTCTGGTAACGACCTGTCAAACCCAAGGTAACACGGCCTAAAGCATTCCCTGCTTTAGGGTCTATTTTACTCTGAATGGGACCATAATTGTTTTGGTATTGAACATCATTCTGTATCGAAGAAGACTTGAAACTAGAGATTGAGACCATAAACTCATGTTTACAATGTTTACTGAGGTAATATATCTAGAGAGAAGTAGAGTCATTTTCTCATAGACTTCTATACAACCAGAGGAGTCGCCCCCTGGTGGACATTAGAGAGAATGCAAGAAAACAACTAACGTCATCAGACACTTGTTGTATTACAATCAATTCCAGTATGCTGTAGCAGGGAGCTAAGCTACTAACGTTAATAGAGGTCGCGTAGACTTGCATGATGTGCTTAAGCTGTACTCAGTAAAAATATGCATTGGGCAAAGGTGAATTATAATAACACTATTATGTGTTCAAATGTAATGAGATGTTTTTGGTGAGAAACTTGAATAAATATAGTTGTTTGAAGGTGTTTTCTGCAAATAATCACTATAGATAAGAAATTTAAAATATAATATTTTAGAATTGTTTTCGGTTTACATTTATTTCGGGATGATTGAAATTATGCCATTCAGTTACCATACCAGAGTTCTGCCACTTCAGAAGCATCTATATTGACATTTTATTTTTTTTAAAACAAATATACCAGCTGTGCTTCAGAGTTATACCATGATATCAATTTCAAGCCATAATCTAACAAATAGTTAACATTAGTTACTCCCACCTTAAATTCTTTAGGGAAAGTTTGAAAGACTATTTAGGTGTTTGGGGAATAACCTGTAACAAAATCTTACTAGAGTAATGTTGTAACTCAAACACATGAAGCTAAGCAGATTTTGTGTGAGTGATATGGACACAATGATTGGTGGTGGAATTGACTGCGATGCAAGGGGCACCAGCTAAAATCTTGCCTCAAAGGCACTAAATTGGTCAAGGTTGGTTTCTGCAAGAAACCATCAAACATCCCAAATATAACAAAATCTCTTTGATTCAGTTCAGCCCTGTACAACCAGCGAGCTAACGTCCGGTGGTCTGGCTAGCAGAGCTAGTTTACAGCTGGCTAGAGTCATTTGGCCAAGCAGGTTCATTCAACATATGCTAGCCTATCTTTTCCTATGCTCTATTTTTAGTCTATGATCCCAGTTAATTAAGCTAAATAATGACATGTTTCTTATCTCTGGAAACAGTAAGACTAATAAATATTGGGGATGCATTTGCTTTACTTGCTTTATTGCTCAGGGGACCATGCATCAGCCCATGGGTTGCTTGTTGAGAGCAGAGCAGGACTGTGGCTCAGTACAGTCCATGGTAGAGTGTTTGTCAAAAGAAAGTAACATTCCTCAGCTTCAGAATGGGATCGGTTCACTAGGTCCTACAGCCCCTGTGGTTCCTGCATACCTATTAGGGAACACATTGTTACAATAGTCAGGTGGAAATTCCTACCTCACTTTATAGGAAAAAGAAGGGCAGACAAAGTATCATATCGGACTGGTTGGAAATAATCTGAACTCAGAATGTTCCGAGGAGTCTGCTTGGGATATTTTCATATAACGTTGGTCTTCCTCCTGCTGGGCTCCGTCACAGGTTTGCTGCTGATGGATCACCGCAGAGATACAGAGAATGACCAGGAGCGGAACAAAGCCATTTTGGAAATGCTACATATCAATAAAGTGTCTGCGAGTCATCAGGCTAAGCCACATCCCTACATGAGGGGGATCTATCAGCGATTGGACTCACTGGAGGCTCAAGACTTTGGGAGTTCAGATGGAACGCTGGTGCAGAGTTTTCGGAGTGTAGCTGGTAAGGATTCGACATGAAATGCCATCTTGATTTAAATGTGTTCATTTTGCTTCTTTCTTGACATAATAATTTAAACTACTGTATAGTAATATTGAAACCTATGCAATCACGGAAAGCAATGTTTTATATTTCCTTTTTGATTGCATTAAAATAATAAAAGAACAAGGTAGTTAGCCTTAGCTGTGTTCCAGTGATGACGTCTTTGCAATGGGCAACCTGGAAGTGTTCCATTAGTAAAACATCTGCTGTCATATCACTGTTTGGATTTTGATGTGCAGCATACTTAAAACCTAGCAAATATGAAGACAACAATGACCCAAAATGTAACACTAGATACTGTATAACATATTGGCCACTTGTGGACAGCAGGACAAGCTGTAAACACAATATTATCATTACATTACAGTGATTTTTATCCAAAGCAACTTACAATTCAGAGTCTATCACATAGGTACAACTACGGGAGCAATTTTGGGGTTAAGTGTCTTGCTCAAGGACACATCGACATGCGACTAGCAGAGCCGAAGCTCGAACCGCCGACCCTCTGATTGAAAGACGGCCCTGCTATCCACTTAGCCACAGTCGCCCCCACTCACTGTATAAATTTGTTTTGGCTGACATGTTAGGAAAAAGTTGCCTATTTACACATACAGCAGACACATCTGGAACCTTGTTAGTGTCAACCTGATGAATGTCAGTCTAATGTTCACTCTACTTTTATCTCCTTTTTGGTCTCCACCAACTCCTAAGAAAGATATCTGGTTCTTTACAGCTGCTAACAGTGAGCTAAAAGGAACACAAATTGGGTATGATGGATGGATCTTTTACGCACCATTCATATTACAGTCATTTGATCCACTGTTAATATTAAAAGATTGATGAGTGCAAAATGAAGATGCACTAACAAGATAGATACAAGACATATGTCAGACTGCAAATTTAGTTTCCCACCATTTTACAAGGAGGAATTGTATAATATATGTTGCTAAACCTGTATTCACACCACCTTCGGCAATATCAGAAACTTTTTTTTACCAGTAATGGCCTCCTCTATTCCATCATGACAACTCTCAAATAACAAACAGCTCAAAGAAAATTACTTTCACGCGGTTATCAACATGTCAAAGGCTGAGCGCGACTGTGCCTAAGTGGAGAGCAGGGCTGTCCTTCAATCAGAGGATCGGCGGTTCGATCCCCGGCTCTGCTAGTCGCATGTCGATGTGTCCATGAGCATGACACTCAATCCCAAAATTGCTCCCATAGCTGTGCCTACGGTGTATGAATGTGATAGATTCTGAATTGTAAGTTGCTTTGGATAAAAGTGTCTGCTAAATGCTAAATGACTGTAATGTAATGAGCCAGCGGCTAGCAGCTAATGGTGCTAGCTCACAGCCCAACAGCTAACTAGCTAGCTAGCCCAACCAGCGTCAAAACAGGAAGGAAGTGGTAAAGTATTAGAACTATAGACTATATATAAGAAGTGGACGTAGTCATGCTGATGTCACCCATTGGTATGTGGACTGCCGTTATGAAGCCTTGAGCTTCGGGAATTTCGCCATTGCCATGTTAGGATACGTCTGTCACCATCTTTTGCTTTTTTGCAACCGATGAACGGTGTAACCATATTTGGAATGCAGAGGATTGACATAGTGACGCCTGATATGTCTCTGATAGCAGCAGCAACCTGTCAATCACAGTAGCCCTGCCCTAAAGCATCCCCTGCTTTATGGTCTGTGTGACTCTAAATGGACCATAATGTACTAAATGAACATCATGCTGTATTGAAGAAGACTTGAAACTTGAGATTGAGACCATAAACTCATGTTTACAATGTTTACTGAGGTAATAAATCAAGAGAGAAGTAGAGTCATTTTCTCATAGACTTCTATGCAACCAGAGGAGTCGCCCCCTGGTGGACATTAGAGAGAATGTAAGTTTTAAGACACTTCCGCATTGGCTTCACTTGGCAGAATCGGAGGTTGCCGCCTGAGTAGAGCCCGTTCCTTGCTTGATTTGATGGGCTGTGTGGACCAAGTGTGACATTGAGGAGCAATGTGACT